ATACCAAATATATTGATGCCAACCTGCCCTTAGGTCTATCCCTTCCAGAGTTAATAATTTCTTTTTCTTTAACATGGTCCAATCTCTGGCCCATGTTAGGGCACACGCTTCGAAATATGTTTTTAAGTCCGGGGCTGCCAGACCACCTTTTTCTTTTTGTTCTATTAGATTTTTATACTGTATTCTCGGTTTCTTATTATTCCAAATAAATTTTGAGATGTCCCTATTCCAACTTTTTATCAACTCCATGTTCCTAATTATAGGTAAATTCTGAAATAAAAATATCATTTTTGGTAAGATTTTCATTTTGATAGATGCGATCCTTCCTAATAGTGACAAATTTGCATTTTTCCAGCTGTCCAAATCTTTTTAAATTTCTTTCCATTTGTTTATGTAATTATTTTGCAGAAGTTGTAAATTTTTTGCCGTTATCTGGATCCCTAGATATTTTATTTTCGGAACAATTTGAACCTTCCACTTGTTATGTATTTCCTCTTTTTCCCTTTCTCCAATATTTTTAATTATTGCTTTTGTTTTTTCCAAATTTATTTGGAAACCTGCCACTTCCCCATAATTTTTTATTTCTTCTAGCCAGATTCCTGTTTTTTCGTTTGGATTCTCTATAATACAAATTATATCATCTGCAAAGGCTTTGTATTTATAATCCAATCCTTGTATTCTAGCTCCCTCTAAAGCCTTCTCTTCTCTTATCCTTTTTAGGAGCACTTCTAGTGAGAGGACAAATATTAGGGGTGATAAGGGGCAACCCTGTCCCTTTTTCTATTTGTATCGTCTCTGTTTCATATCCATTAATTATAATTTTGGCCTCCTGTTTTTCATAGATTGCTTCCACCGCATTTTGAAAATAATATCCCATATCAATCTCCCTCATCAAAAATTTAAAAAAATCCCAATTGACATTATCAAATGCCTTCTCGGCATCCACAGCCATGAATATTACTTTCTTTTGATGGTAGATTTCATAATATTCGATCAGGTCTATTACTGTCCTCACATTGTCTTTTTGTTGTCTATTAGGTAGGAAGCCCGCTTGGTCTTCTTCTATGTATGTTTCAAGAATTTTTTTTAATCTTTCCGCCAGAATACTGCTGAAAATTTTGTAATCTACATTAAGTAACGATATCGGTCGATAATTTTTTACTTCCTCTGGGTCCGAATGTTCTTTATGGATTACTGTTATGTCGGCCTGTCTCCAAGAATTTGGTATTTCTTTATTTATTCTTATATTGTTCATTATTTTCTTCAAATATGGTGTGAGTTCTTGTTGAAATATTTTATAATAACCCGATGATAGCCCATCCGGGCCTGGTGCTTTATTTGGTTTTAAGTTTTTTATTGCTGTTTTTATTTCTAATTCCGATATCTCCTTATTTAAGATTTCTCTTTGTTTATCCGAGATCTTTTGAATTTTTTGTTTTCCTAAGTATTGATATATCTTCTCCCTATCAATCTTCTCATCCTGGTATAGTTTCTTATAGAAATTGAAAAATTGATTCCTAATCTCTTTTCCCCCAGTATATATTGTGTTTTTGTCTTTTATCTTTGTGATATGGGATTTCTCTCTTTTTTTCCGTAGTTTGTTTGCTAACCACCTCCCCGATTTGTTTGCGTTCATGAAATAATTTTGCCTTATATATTTTAATTGTTTTTCTTTCTCTTCCAATTCCAGGAATTCTAGTTGCTTATGTAGGATTTCTAATTTGTTTTTTACCTCTTTATTCTTTGGACATTTTTAAAGCTTATCTTCCTCCCTCTCTAATTCTCTCATAATTTCCTCCATCTTTTTCCTTTTTTGTTTATTTCTAAATATTTTTTGTTGTATAAAATGGCCCCGCATTACTGCTTTGCTTGCATCCCACAAATTTGAAATATTTGTCTCCTTGTTATCATTCACTTCGAAGTATTCTTTTAATTTGTTTCTAATTCTTTCAATATCTTCCTCTCTTTTTATCAGATTTTCATCTAATCTCCATCTTCTTATTTTTTCTCCTATCTCTATCTTTAGCTCTAGGGGGCAATGATCCGAATCAATTCTTGGTAGTATCCTCAAATTCTTGACTTTCCCTATCGTTGGTGTTGTTGCCCACATCATGTCAATCCTCGACCAGTTTTGGAATCTGGCCGAGTAATATGTATAATCCTTTGTTTCCATTTTTTGTTCTCCATATATCTCTCAAATTTAATTTTTCCATCATTTTTATCATTATGTTCGGGAGGTTTCCTTTATCCCTAGTTTTCTTTGTGGTATAATCTATCTTACTTCTATCCAGATCTCTATCTATGACCCCATTAAAATCCCCCATAATTATTAAATGGTCATACTCCTGGTCCACAATCTTCTTTTTTAATTTTTTTGTGAATTTTATCTTAGAGTCATTGGGTGCGTAAATATTGCAAATTAAAAATTTCTGATCTTGCACTTTTATATTTATACCTAGAAATCTTCCCTGTTCATCTTTAAATGCTACTTCTGCTGGGATATCTTTATCGACATAGGTTACCACCCCTCTCTTTTTCTCTTGTGCTGAGGCTATGAATGACTGGCCCAGATTTTTATTTTCCAAATATCTTGTATGGTCTTTCTTAACGTGTGTTTCTTGTAGTGCTATAATATGAAACTTTTCTTTTTTAGGTTGTAAAAAACTTTATTTCTTTTATTTGGTGAATTCAGTCCGTTAATATTATTTGAATATAATTTTAGTTCCTTCATTACTTATTTTCTTTTTCTCTTGTCTCTTCTTTTTTTTCTCCCTCTTCTTCTTCTGGCTCCTCTCTCTCTTCTTCTTCTTCCTCTTTACTCTCCTGAGACTTCTCCGTCTCTTATCTCTTCATCTTTAGGTCCATCTCGTTCCATGTCGTTTAAGTTTTGTTCACCGTTGGTTCTTTCCATGTTCCTCTCTCGTTCTTCCTTCTCTCTCTCTCTCTCCTTTCTCCCTGTTTCTTCTTCTGGGTGTTTTTTCTTCATTTTACCTTTTGTAGGATCTTTACTCTTTTCCTTTTCTTCTCTTTTTATCTTTTCTAGAAATTCTTTTGCTCTTTCCGTGTTTTTAATCCAATATCTCTGGTCTCCATATGAAGCCATCAGACCTTCCTCTCGTTCCCATCTGTATCTAATTCTCCGTTTCTTTAGTTCTTCTGTCAGGAAATTGTATTTTCTCCTTTTCGTTAGCACCGTGTTTGGATATTGTAAACCGCGTTGAGTCGCCGGTCAGGCTGAGAAACTGCGGTATACAAGTAAAGTAATAAATAAATAAATAAATAAATAAAATATTCCTTCAGGATAATAACTTTTTCCCCTTTGTAATATACTGTTCTTCTGTTATTTATTTTTAACACTTCATCCCTTGTAATTTTCTTTGCAAAGTGCACCACGACATCACGTGCTACTCTGTTTCTTATCGCAATTTTGCGAGGTTAATTCTTTTCTCCCCTTTAACAGCATCGTTGCCTGGTGCCTACGTAAACATATAGTTTTATTGGTGGCAGAAGGTGGCATATTACAACTGAATGTAACAGAATATAAAAAGGAAGGAAGGAAGAAGTTCCCCTTCCTGCCTGAGACTGTGGGATCACGTTTCCTTGTCCCTCTCACAAGAACCCAAAGAGGCTGGGATAGCTCCTCTTGGTCTCCTTCTCCTGGGAAGTTACCATTTTCCTATTCCACCAGAGCTTTTAGGAATCAACCGTGATTGACTTTTGAACAATGTGTCATGCTATTTTGTTGGTTGATATGGGTTTTAATTTGAATTTTAAATTATTTAAGTGTACTAATAATTTAATATTTTCTAAAATGTAACTTTTATAACACACTCACACATGAACTGAGTGTCACTAGATTAATAGGGTTCATTAATTGGGGTTTTCAAAGTGTTCCTGAGTGGAAAATATAGAAGTAGGCATAAAGAACCCAGATCCACACAGGTAATTAAGATTCATTACATGCTTTATTGATATAAAATGTTCAATTCAGGAACATTAAAGAAATAACAGTAATATGAATTTCAGGGATTACAGGAGTTGTTTTCATTGTGTGCCTTTAAGAAATTTCTAATTTATGGTTAGGGTCAGGTGAACCCATCATGGAGTTTCCTTCTGGGGCAGAGAATTGGGGATTCATCCGAAGCACCCAGTGGGTGTCCATGGCCAAATGAAGCCCTGGTCATGGTCCTCTCCTCCTCCTCCTCCTCCTCCTCATTTGTTGTCCACATCTCGTGGCTTCCAGTGGTGAAGAGCACAATTAAATCATTGTATTATAAAATACATACCATAAAATACCAAGATTAAAAATATCATAAAATACATAGTACAAAGCATAATACAAGGATTAAAATACAACACTAGTAGAATCTACATGTAACATTCATTATATAAATGGACTGGGTAGGCCTGCCAATAGACAGCACAAATTAAGCCCAAAAGAGTATATTAAAAAGCTCATCAGAATATCTGGAATAAGCCAGAATATCCATTGCAGCCAATCAGAGTATATTGTAAGTAGTAAGTAAGTTATTAAGTAATCCCATACAGAGCTCAAAATGATCCCTTTGTTCTAGCTCTAGTATAACTCTTCTATTTTCCCACTCTGCAAATCTGACTCTGACTTCTCCATAAATAGCAAATGCATATTAATTAGTAATAAGAAATTGACAGCAGTGGAATGAGGGCACAGGGTGTTTCACTCCCACCACGTCAATCACCAACATGCTTAGAAAAATGTAAGATTTATTTAATTGATTAACATTTTGGAAGAAGGAAGCTTCCCTAAATTCCTATGAAAGTAAATATGTAATAAACAAGACATGTATCTTTTTTTAAAAAATAGCATATAGACATAGAATGATATATGGTATTAACTGTATATACTGATAGATTACTCTAGACTCTAACTGCACAAGGCATTCCTTCTGCCTCTGGCTCCACCGTACTGGCAGGCAGACCTTGGTCCCTGGAACTGGCCGGTGAAGAGGGCTGCTCAAGGCTGCTGCTCTCTCCTCCTCTTCCTCCTCCTCCTCCTGATGGTCTTCCTCCTTCTCCTGCACTCAGCCTCAGCCACAATCCCCACCAAGGCGAGGAAGACCAAGGCAGCCACTCCCAGGTGAATGCTGATCTCAAGGGAGGAATCAACAGCTGTAATAACTACAATGACAACAAAGATGGAAGGACAATTCAGGCGTTGGCTGCAACATGAAATTGTTATTAACTGATCCCAGTGTCCTTGATTCAACTGCTACTCTCACCCAAAATTTATTTATTTGGTTTACTTTTACCCCGCCCTTCTCACCCCGAAGGGGACTCAGGGCGGCTTACATATCCAAGGCACAATTCGATGCCCGTAACATACAACAATAATAAAACATAATAGCACAAAATAGCAAACAACAACAATACATCATATCTATAACCAATAAAACCAATAAAATCCATAAAAATTTCATACAAACCGATACAAACCAATTGCTCCTTATTGCCGGTCAATATTCGCTACCTCATAGTTCAGAGTTTCATTCCACATTTGTCAGTCCTGCCGGTCCTATTTGTCTGGTTGTCCTTACTTGGTTGGCAGATTGCCTGAAGGCCTGGTCCCACAACCACGTCTTTACCTTCCTCCTGAAGGACAGGAGTGATGTCGATGTCCTGATATCTGCCGGGAGTGAGTTCCACAGGTGAGGGGCCACCACTGAGAAGGCCCTGCTCCTCGTCCCCACCAGCTTCACTTGGGAAAGTGGTGGGGTCGAGAGCAGGGCCCCCTCAGATGATCTTAGATTCCATGGTGGGACGTAGAGGGAGATACGTTCAGACAGATACACTGGACCGGAACCGTACAGGGTGTGACGATGTGTAAATTTTATTCCTTTGGTTATGTGTAATTTAAACAGTTGTTTAGGGATGGTAAGTATGGGGGATTATGTTTTGTTGGAGATGGTGGCTTGGCGTTAGCTGAGTTGCCATAGCAACAGGGGTGGAGCCAACTGGCTCTTCAAGGGGCAGCTGTTTTTAAAAGTCAGTCAATAAGCCAGTGAGCTACTGGGTGGACTGAGTCTCTGGGTGGAGATTCAGGGAATGAGTCAGTAAGCCGGCGAGCTACTGGGAACACTGAGTCTCTGGGTGGAGATTCAGGGAATGTGTCTGTAGCCAGTGTGCTATAGGAAATTCTGTTAAAATAAGCCTTTTAGCTTATTTGTTATATTAGGACAGTTGTCCAGAAGGGTTACATCTGCTTAAAGAAACTTTTTGGAGTCTATGCCTGAGATTACTCATGAAACCTTTCCAATGTAACCATCAAGATTTGTGTCTCTTGTGAAGAAACAGTTAAAGATGTTATACTCCTGTTAAAATAAACTTGTTACTGTTTTCCTCAAGCCTTGCCTGATATAGTTTCTCCTAAGTTGAACAACCTGCATAAGTAAAGTCAAGCCAGGAAAGTAAACGCTAAGCTATCAAATGAATAAAACCTTCTGTAATTAACAGTCCCTGTATAAAATAGCTCCTAGGTTGATATTGATCGTTGCCCGGCTTCCCTCGTAGATTAGGTGGCAGTGGGTGTTTTACCACGCGCACCTTCACACAGGGTTTTGTAGGTCAAGACCAGCACCTTGAATTGGGCTCGGAACTGAACTGGCAGCCAGTGGAGCTGTCACAACAGGGGGGTGGTATGCTCTCTGTATGTCGCTCCAGTGAGCAGCCTGGATGCCGCTCGCTGGACCAGTTGAAGTTTCCGAACCGTCTTCAAGGGCAACCCCACGTAGAGTGCGTTGCAGTAGTCTATTCGGGATGTGACAAGAGCGTGGACCACTGTGGCCAGATCAGACTTCCCAAGGTACGGGCGCAGCTGGTGTACAAGTTTTAATTGTGCAAAAGCTCTCCCGGCCACCTCTGAGACCTGGGGTTCCAGGCTCAGCGATGAGTCCAGGATCACTCCCAAGCTGCGAACCTGCGTCTTCAGGGGGAGTGTAACCCCGTCTAACACAGGCTGTAACCCTATACCCTGTTCGGCCTTACGACTGACCAGTAGGACCTCTGTCTTGTCTGGATTCAGTTTCAATTTGCTAGCCCTCATCCAGTCCGACACAGCAGCTAAACATCGATTCAAGGTCTGGACAGCCTCCTTGGTGACAGGTGAGAAGGAGTGACAGATCTGGACATCATCTGCATAGAGATAACACCTCAGTCCGAAACTCCGAATGATCTCCCCCAGCGGCTTCATGTAGATGTTAAACAACATTGGGGACAGAATTGAACCCTGTGGGACTCCACATGACAACGGCTGTGGGGCCGAACAGGTGTCACCCAGTAACACCTTCTGGGACCGTCCCTCAAGAAAGGACTGGAGCCACTGCAAGGCAGTACCCCCAAGTCCCATATCTCTGAGGCATCCCAGAAGGATACCGTGATCGACGGTATCGAAGGCCGCTGAGAGGTCCAGCAGAACTAACAGGGACACACTCCCCCTGTCCAGCTCCCGGCGAAGATCATCTACCAAGGCGACCAAGGCTGTTTCCGTTCCATGTCCCGGTCTAAGCCAGACTGTGCCGGATCTAGATAATCAGTGTCTACCAGAAATTCCTGGAGCTGTGTTGCCACCACACGTTCCATGACTTTGCCCAAATAGGGGAGATTGGAAACTGGCCGATAGTTGTCTAATTGAGTGGGGTCCAGTGATGGTTTTTTCAACAGCGGTTTTATAATAGCTTGTTTTAAGCTCGCTGGAATTTTGCCCTCCTAAGGAGACATTAACCACCACCTTCACCCACTCTGCCAAACCCCTTCTGGCTTCTTTTATCAGCCAGGATGGGCAGGGGTCTATGATGCATGTGGTAAGTCGCACCTCTCCAAGAATCCTGTCCACATCCTCAAGCTGAACCAATTGAAATGTATCCAACAAAATAAACTGATGGAATCAACTACTGAAATGGAAATGATGTACAAAGCTGTGGAACATTTAACTGACTTATTACAAGTGATCTTTTTTAGCTGGGACCCCAGTTAGATTTAATTCCAATTGTACAGTTTGGAATTATGTAGGCCCACACAGGAGTTTGGGAAGCAATTTTTTTTCCTTCTGTGGTCTTTCATTGGATCTAGTATTGCAAGAAGTAGACACTCACTTGGCTCTATAATAGTAATAACTGGAAATCTACATTAACAGCTTATTTAAGGAGATGCTACTGATTGCCTCAAAGTAAGTACCAAGACAAGGAGTTCTGCTCTAGAAGAGCAAAAATATTGTACATGACGTACTCTATTGCCAGCTTTAACAAAACCCCAGAAAGAGATTCTCGGGACAAATGCTACCCTTCCTCTTGTTACTACATAAATATCTTATAGTCTGGCAAAACTATCATGCTTAGAAAAAAGCTGAGAGTGATGAAGCCATGATGAAAATACCTGATACACATATTGGAAAATATATATTAGATGTAACCATATTAGAAATAGGAATTAGAAAATATATAGGATGTATGTATGCATGAACTTCCCTTCACTTGACTTCTTAAAAGCTGCAAATTAAGATGCCACAAAGAGGCTAGAGAGAGGCCAGAAAGAGGTCTATGGAAAGGAATGTCTCAGGCATCCAGCAAATATCATGACTGGTACCAAGCACAGCTTATTGTAAGATCAATGAGCCTGGCTATCAAGAGGCTTCTTCAGAACTATCTCAAGATGGATGGAAGCTCTTGCTATCAGTAGCCCGGTAGACATTCTGGTGCTATGAGGTATAGGATGGTCCTCTTAATGAGCAAACCTTCTCGCTGCCATTTCAAGAAGGTATATTGATTAGGGCCAAATAGATATAGCATTACTAGCATAGCCTTTCAGCATAATGAGCAAACCTCGCTGCCATTTCAAGAAGGTATATCGATTAGGGCCAAATAGATATAGCATTACTAGCATAGCCTTTCAGCCTCTTCTCTCTCTCTCCATGGTTTTTTTCAAAGATAAAGGAAATACATTCCACATTTTGAATGTATAAAGCTTTTGCAGTTGGCTGACTAGAATGACAATCATTAGGAGCGGATTTGAGTGGATTATCACCTTTGGCGAAACAATACAAGATTTTGATGGTCTGTTGAAGAAGCTATTGAATATTTCTGACATTAAGAGTGGATTACAATCTTTCTGAATATTTCCAGAGAAATTCAGCCATCCAGATTGCACTCCAAACTTTTTATTAATCAGAACAGCTGATTGTAATACAAAAGAAAGACTCTCATCCTGATCACGCTGGTTTTGAGAAGAGAGGAACCCAATGCAGGCTTTGGTAAGGCAAACTGGGAAAGGCATGTACCTGAACACTCCACGCTGGCATCCTGGCTGTGGCTGCAACTCTGCTCTCCCCAGACTCCCTTCTGGCACTCCCTCAGGAATTCTTCTTCTCCTGTACAGTTGATGCTCTCCAGCCAAATGGGGCTTGATCCTTGGCCATAGTGTGCTCCACCCAATGCTTTGGAGGCATTGCCACAGCCCAGCTGCCTGCAGACCACTTGAGCATCTTGTAAATCCCAGCCAGCATCACAAACGGTCCCCCATGCGTCATTGTGAAAGACTTCAACCCGCCCAGAGCAGGGACTTGTGCCATTCAAACGGAGATCTTTAGCAGAAAAAAGAGAAACTTGGTACGAAATGAATTGTGATGATAGAGTTATAAGCAAAAGTTTTGTTGTTAGAATTCACTAGACAATAAACACTGAATCAATTATTTTTACCCATATATTGATTCATCATTCAAGCAATCAATGGATCTACTCTAGCTGGGAATAACCAGCAGGACACTAGTCATTGTGATGACTTTGAATCAAATTGGTAAAATAAAAGAATTTAGTATGAGGATGCCTACCTTAGAATTATGCAATCTACATGGATAGATTGCATATTTTAAAAAAATCACTAATAGGTCTAGAATTTTAAATACACAAACATAACCTATCTGGATTTCAGATCATGTGTCTATTATAGAATTAGTGGAGTTAAACATAGAGGAGCCAGATGAAACGGAGGCAATAAAAACTTGAAGACATAAAAATTTAATAAATAAGACAAAAAACGTAAGAAATAACTATTGGAAGAGATAAAAAAGGGGAGCTCAGCAAGTATAGGAACAGTCTAGGATACAGTGGTAATTAGGGGTTATTGCATAGAAAAAGAATTTGCAGTAAAGAAATAGTAAGATAAAAAATGGAAAGAATGCTTAGAGAAATAAAGGAAACACAAAAACTATTACAAAGTAAATATCAAACGCAGGTGAAAGTAAAGTTGGAAAAATTAAAGAAACAATGAGAAGAAATGAATAATTTGGACTTCTGGAAAAAAGAGATGATTATTAAAATAATTTCCAAAGACAAATTACAAATACAATGAAAAAAACTGGCTAATTATGTGAAAGAGAAAGGTAGAGTCATACAGTTAAAGAATAAATATAATAAAAAGATAAATTTGAGCAAGAAAATAAGAGAGGTATTTGTAGACTTTTACCAGGACTTATATAAAAAGCAAATACATGGAGGAAGTTTTAATGAAAATATCCAGAAGATATTAGATAGAGAAGACAATGGGAAACTAGGAATAAAAAAAATAGAGCAGGTGATCAATACTTTGAAAAATGCAAAATCCCCAGGATGTGATGGTTACACTGCAAAGTTTTACCAAGAAACAAAAGAAATAATAATACCAGAATTGAAGAATTTATTTAATAGCATAATGAAAAGAGGACAACCCGCAGATACATGGAGAGAATCAGAGATAATCCCGCTGGATGCAGAGGCTGTTGATAGGTTCATAGCTGCAGCTAGACCGACCACTTGCTCCCTTGATCAGTGTCCCTCTTGGTTGGTGAAATCCTGCCTGGAGGGATTACGTGACCCTCTGTTGAAGATCATAAACAGCTCCCTTGAGCAAGGAGTTTTTCCAGAGAGTTTAAAAGAGGCGGTGGTCTCTCCCTTGCTGAAGAAACCAGATTTAGTTTGTTCGGTTCCCTCCAGTTACCGCCCAGTTTCGAATCTCTCGTTCCTGGGCAAGGTGATTGAGAGGGCAGCAGCGGAGCAGTTGCAGCAGTTCTTAGATGACACAGCCGGACTAGATCCCTTCCAGTCCGGCTTCCGTGCGGGGCATGGGACAGAGACTGTGCTGGTCTCCATCACGGATCACCTTCGATGCCAGCTTGAAAAGGGCGGGTCGACGCTGCTTGTGTTATTGGATCTCACAGCAGCATTTGACACAGTCGACCACAATCTTTTGACCTTGCTGCTGTTGGAGTCAGGGGGACAGCTTTAAATTGGCTGTCCTCCTTTTTTCACAACTGTGGACAGCGAGTGGAGAGGGGAGGCCTGGTCTCTGAGAGGTCCCCTCTACTCTGTGGGGTTCCTCAGGGGGCCATTCTCTCCCCTCTATTGTTTAACATCTATATGCAACCACTTGCTCAGCTGGTTCGAGGTTTTGGGCTTGAGTGTTACCAGTACGCTGATGACACTCAGCTTGTGCTGAAGATGGAAAGCCGACCGGATTCTGTACCTGACTATTTCCCTCAGTGCCTCGAGGCCGTTACTGGATGGCTGCGTGCCAGCAGGTTGAGGGTGAATCCAGCAAAGACGGAGATCCTATGGCTGGGTCGACCGGGCAGTGGGGATATCCAGCTGTCTACCCTGGACGGTGAGGCACTACGCCCATCATCATTGGTCAAGAGTCTGGGAGTCCTTTTGGACCCTCTGCTGATGATGAAAGCTCAGGTCTCCGCTGTTAGCAGAACCACCTTTTTTCATCTGCGGCAGGCTAGACGGCTGGCCCACTACCTGTCCAGGGACGACCTAGCTACGGTGATCCAGGTCATGGTCATCTCAAGACTGGACTACTGTAACGCCCTCTACATTGGCCTTCCTCTGTCGGTGATCTGGAAGCTCAAGTTGGTACAAAATGCAGCTGCTCGGCTTCTTGCGGGAATTCCGATGAGATGCCACATAACACCAATCTTACTGCAGCTGCATTGGTTACCAATTGAGCACCAGATCACTTTCAAAGTGATGGTACTTACCTTTAAGGCCCTGCATTGTCTGGGGCCGATGTACCTGAGAGACCGCCTCACCCCCTATCAACCCCAGAGATCCCCAACTGGAAATTCCCAGTGTCAAGACCTTGCATCTAGCAGCAACCAGACACAGAGCCTTTACAGCAGTGGCACCATCACTCTGGAATACTCTGCCACCTGAAGTCTGTGCCTTGCGGGACTTACATATTTGTTCCTGCGGGCCTTTGATCTTTGATGTTGCTGTTTTTAAATTGTTTAAATTGTTTTAAATTGTGTTAGATTTTAGCTTTCTTGTAAGCCGCTCTGAGCCCCAGGGGAGTGGCGGCATATAAGTTCGAATAATAAATAATAAGTTATATAGTAACATGAGAGCAAGAATAAGAGTAAATGAAGGCTTAACAGAATAAAATAGAAAGAGGAGTAAAACAAGGTTGCCCTCTGGGAAGATGTGAACACAACGATGGACAGGGTATAGGGATTTTGTCTTTGAAGATCCCCACCGCTATCACCAATTGTACATATGTGGATGTTATGGAGGGAATTAACCTCAAGCCTCAATTGTGTAGAAGAGTATATTATGGAGGAGGCCAATTATTATTTGTAAATTAAGGTAACTGCCACCAACGTGAGGTATTTGAGATCTCGCTCTACAGACGCAGATTAGTTGAGATGAGATGGTTTTCAACAAAAGATAACAAGTTTATTGTGTACAAAGCTTATGGTGGCAGGCTGTTAAATAACTTATGGAACTTTGAATATCACGTGGTTTATAATACAGTCCACTCTTCCAGATAACACAGCTTGTGGCTAACTTTCACTGAGGTGAAGCTCTCTGGTGAACAATGTTTCACTACTATAAATAGCCTTTAATCTCTGATCTCTAGTCCTTCCTTAACTAGGGATCTTAACTAGGCTTCCTTTAGTCTTCTTGGACTAAAGAATCTGGCCAGGTTTATTTCTTCAGCCCTCTTAGACTGAAAAAAATCAGCCGCTCACACCCAAGTCTCTCTCTCAGGCCTTTCCAATCCTCTCTCTGCTGTTTTTTTTAAAACGCACATAAATTTTCCTGCTTGGCTCCGCCCACTTCTCCCTCTCATGAGCTATCCAGCCTCGTCTCCTTGGCAACGCTCACTGTGGATTCAAACCAGATGACTCCAGTTTTAGCTACTGTTACAAACACAAATATATACTCTAACAGTTAAACACAAACATAATAACAATGACTTCTGCACACCCTCTATTTCTGCTATTATTTGTGGTAGGAATGGAACCTCTAGTAGATAGAATCCAAAACAATGTCAGGATAAAGGGATATGAGATTAAGAACAAATAATTGAAAATAAATCTTTATGCGGATGACATTTTACTAATAATAGAAAACCTAGTAGAAGCAATAAGAAAAGTACAAATAATTCTAAAACATTTTGAAAGATACTCAGGATTGAAAGTGAATATGAGTAAATCAGAAATGTTTAAAACATCAGTGGGGATTTGGGAGAATGGAATATAAAGTAGAAACTCATTATCCTATTTACTGCCTTACAATTGTTATAAGAAAGAACTCTCTGCCCTGGAGTGTGGTGGAGGCTCCTTCTTTGGAAGCTTTTAAACAGAGGCTGGATGGCCATCTGCCAGGGGTGATTTGAATGCAACATTCCTGCTTCTTGGCAGGGGGTTGGACTGGATGGCCCATGAGGTCTCTTCCAACTCTTTGATTCTATGATTCTATGATTCTAAAGCACAATTTGCAAACCACCACAGCACTTGCACATTTCACCACAATTTCTTCCCTGGGTTTGGACTCTTTTGAGGGAACTGTGGAAATTTCCTGAATTATCAACATTTCTTTAGTTTGCATCAGTTACCTGAGCACACAACACTGGCATCTTCTTCATGACGACACTCGTATAATGTGTGCATTTTGTAAATGCAGTTGTACAGAGAAACCTCTGTCCCATTGCATTGGACTTCATTTATCAAGATGGGATCTTTTCCTTTTCCAAAGTGGGCTTCTTCAGGAGCTGACACAGCTTCTCCACAGCCGAGTTCTCTGCACACGACTTGAGCATCTCTCAGGTCCCATCCATCATCACACACTGTTCCCCAAGTCCCATTCCGGAACACTTCGACTCTCCCAGAGCAATGGTTTGGACCATTCACCAATCTAGTTTCTATCAATGTTGGAAGAATGAAAAATGCTTTATTGATCTATAGTTCACTTCCCCGTTTTCTTCATCATATCTTAGTAGTCATGGGGCCATTCATAATAAGTGTGCACAAGTAGGAAGTTAGCTGGCTATTGTGGAATCAATATAGAAACAAGGCTTTGTTGTGCAGGTTATCCTATCTCTTAGTAATACTCATTAGTTGTCATTGACTTCACCTGCCTTCCCTCAAATTCCAATAGTCCACACCTACATACTGCAGCTGGCAAATGAATGTGTCAGGACACACAGTTTGGAAAACTCTGGTCAAAGTATTTCATTGTCTAAGGGCATTAATACATAAGTATATTCCTATTGTTATTTTATACAATACCCCCATTCAGTTTAGCTTAAATGCTCACCAGGCATGGATCCTCTTACCTGCGATCCTAGCTCTAAATTCTACTAAACTATCATGACATTACTTGTTCAGCACTTAAGTCACATGCATCCTCCAATGTTCCATTGCTGGCCCTGGAGCTAAAATCTATTTATTTATTTATTAAACTTGTACCCCGCTCTTCTCACCCCCAAAGTGGGACTCTGGGCGGCCCTTTTTGAAACAAATGTGTCTGGTGGAGCATCAATAAATGTTTATGTATTATATCATGCACACTTTGAGAACCCCTGTTTTAGAGGATATGAAAGACATTTCCACCATATTTTGAGTCTTTTTTCTAATCTACACTCCATAGAACAAKGCCTTGCTGCAACCTCCAACAGGCATTGATTATTTTGACTGAATGTGATGTATAATTTTATATATGAATTCAGAAAGAGATTTGCAAAGAATGAAGGAMAGAAGGCATGTGGTGCCTACCTCATTTTCTTTGTCCCATGTATTACCACATAGGCCTCAATACCCTAAAACTGTGTTTCTCAACCTGTAGGTCTCCAGGTTTACCAGCGGTTATGATTTCTGGAAGTTGAAGGTCAAAACATCTGGGGAGCAACAGGTTGAGAACCACTGCCTTAAAGACATCATATCCCATCTGGGAAACTAAGCAGTGCAGCCGTTTAACACTCAGACAGAAGACACGTAATGAATATCATGTGCTGT